TTTTAATGCGTTTGCACATTTTGAGGTCCTAGCAAAGCCAGCGAGGCGGTGTTTTGGACAAATTTCTGTGTGGCGGTTGAGAATTTGAGCGAGGCGGCCCGCCTCGCCTGTGTCAATGCAGGGGAAACACTGGTATGGATAGAACAATTCTATGGAAAATGCTCAAACATGGCATTCCAGATATAATAATTAGCATAATAAAGAGTACCTATGAACTATGAAGGTATGACGTGTCAGGTCATCCACGCTGGAAAACTATCAGCAACCATCGCAGTTGAATCTAGGAGTTAGGCAAGGATGCTTACTGTCACCGCTGCTATTTAGTCTTGCCATCGACTATATTATGGAAAAGACAACCCATGGCCAGCGCAACGTAATACAATGGACACCTTGCACCCTGTATGTGTGTATATAGACAGGTGGAATACCGTATACGTGTCTATACAGGCAGGTGAAATTCTGTGCACCGTATGCGTGTCTATACAGACAGGTGAAATTCTGTGCACCCTATACGTGTCTATACAGACAGGTGAAATTCTGTGCACCGTATACGTGTCCATATACAGGCAGGTGAAATTCTGTGCACCGTATACGTGTCTATACAGACAGGTGAAATTCTGTGCATCCTATACATGTTTATACAGACAGGTGAAATTAATAAGAAATAATTAATATGTGCATCGTTTTTGTTGCCAGGCGATGTGACAGTGAAGCCGGGACAATGCGGCGGTGGTGGCGGCGGCAGGGCTGCGATGAACATTGACGAGGCACTGACCGCGCTCGGAGCATACGGACGCTTCCAGATGCTTGTGTTTGCACAGGTTGCCGCCATGCAGGTCTTCTCTGCCTGGCACTCACTCAGCATCAGTTTCATCGGCGCCGTCCCCGACCACCGCTGTGCCGTTGCCGCGGACAACGTCACCTCCCTCAGCAATCTCATCCCGGCCGGCAGTGCAGGCGGGCTGGATCAGTGCAGTATGTTCACGAACCCCCCAGAAGGGAACGCGACGATTCCCTGCCGTGACGGGTGGTGGTTCTCGGACGAGTTTGGGTCGACGATCGTCACAGAGGTTTTCATTATTATTTTTACAGGGTGCGAAATTAACGGGAGTCCGTAGTCAAATACTCTCTGATTTACTGTCAGACTCCCTGATTTGACATATGCAGGAGTCCGTGTGACGCCCTGAAAATTCTGCCATACTAAGTAACTAGTTCGTCCGGAGCACGGCCTCGCGTAATTACTGTATTTGTTTAGCTAACGCCCAAAGAAAATTTGGCACACGTGCAACTGCATGAATCTTAAAAATAAGCACATGCGTTATTGTTAATATCTTGTGAATTTTAAACCTCAGACTGCGGACTCCCTCTTTTGAGGGTAGGGAGTCCGTTGGACTCCCGTGTTCAAAAGTTAATTTCTACCCCTGTTTTTATTATTTTATTATTATTGTTATTATTATTTAGACATGGGAATTTTCCGCGGATTTCAGAGTTTTTTGCCGACCACCTGGGTCATTTTTGAGAAACTTGCAAATCCGTTGAGATATTAGGGTAGGCTAGAGATGGGTGGGTGGAAGGTCGATTGAACCCCTGTGTGTAGAATGACCCAGTATGTGTTGTTGATCGTCATCACAGTGTATGGCTTCATACTAATACCAACATTTCTTGTTACCTGACATATATAAAAATTTGGAAAATGTGCCATTAAAATATGCAGAATTTATCTCTCCGAGTGGCTCTAAATTCAATGATAGACTTTTTGTGAGTATAATTATTTATAAACAATACACTGCATTCTGCATGCATGCTTAACATGGGTCAATTTGAAAAGTTTCTCATTAAAAATTAGGTATTTTGTTCTTTTTGTAAATTGTGGATAATTGTATCTCTAGAAGTCATCAGATGTGATCTCAGAGCCTCTAAGTCTAAATTTCAAAATCGTCTAAAGGCAAGCTGGGATGCCTTCGGCATCCTGTGTTGAGATTTTTTTGAGATCATCTATTCCCATGCCTGTTATTATTATTATGTTGTGGTTGTTGTAGTTTATTCATTTAATAAGCAGACTTCGGTAAGGTTTAACACATGAGCTTCCATGTTGTTTGGCCTTGCTGAAGCCAGCATGCCTTCTCGTATAGTTGGGTAGCAGAGAATAGGAGATAAATTATGTGCAGCCTTTAAAATTTATCGTTAGAGGCACAATTGGAAAAATCTTTGTTTGCCCTCATCCGACCCAGGCTGAAAAGTTTGGGTATAGGTAGGTAGGATTTTTTTTGATTGGGCCTTTTTACAAATTCAGCATTGTGTCTACTGTATGCTCGGGTGTGCTTGTGTGGAGATACCTTTTATGTTGAATCTTTGTTTTGCTTGGTACATATAAGGTATTGCCTACCGATTTATATAATGTACAGTGATACAATTTGTAAAAAAGAAAAAAGAAAAAAAAGATCAATACAATTTTTTGAGCCGGCCTCTTTTGGCGGGTCGGTGGGGCGAGGGCAAACAAACAATATTTTTATTATGGCCTAGTCACTTCAGTCAGCTTGTTACCTTTTATATAGTTGGTGAAGGATACAGGGTAAACTACTCACAGCTTTTGAAATATATTCACTAGTCACTATGTCTAGATATATGCTTCTTTTGACATGTTTGAGCAGAAAATATAGAGGGTATACTGCTATTTAGGTATATTTTTGGTCTATATTATATTGAATATATTCTATTAGTTGGTAGGTGGTGGTGGTGGTGGTGGTTGGTGGTGCAGTTGGTAAGTGCTTTTCTTAGTATTATGTAGAAGTGTCACTAGCTTCAAGAGCTGCAGCTTTTCCAGCTACCGAGACAGGCCCCTTTTCTGAGATAGGCGAGATCTTATCGTGTTTCACTCCATGTATATATACTTAACGTGCGAAATGGTCTCTGTCACGCACTTCCAGTTCCTGGTGATACGTCCCTTACAAATTTCCTGCGATATTCTGTTAATTGCCAAGGCGAGTGACAGGTTTAGTAGTGCGGTGGGTGTATTTACCAGTTCCTGTTTTTGTGCGAACGAGTGGGTGGTGGTTGGTTCTTCCTGTCTGTCATAGAATGCCAGCTGTCCCCTTTTCCACTATCCGAAACTGCAAGTCATTACCAGTAAGCAGATATCTTTGTCGTGGATACTGTACAATCCTGGTTACAATCCCTATATTATGAGCGACTCGATTGTAAGCATTTGTGTTATTACGGGGTCATGTGATAAATGTGATTAGCTTGGGAATTTAACCATGAATTACACCTATCCTTCTTGTGAGGTTGTGATCTCGTGTGTATTGAGGCCCAGGTGATAGCTTGTCAGTAGTATACAAATATCAGTTCAGTCACTGCCAGGACCGGATCTGTGCGCATTATTACTATATTTTCTTCCATAAAACCTATACGCTATTTCTATATATTTTGCGTGAGCAGCAGCTAGGCAATGCTCATGTGATGTCACAATGCATGCAGCGGTGCGAGACTAAACGTGTCTGTTCTCACGTACACCGCTTGCACAGGTTGCACAGCAACCACACTAAGCTCCCGTCCAAGATCGATCAGTATAGCCACCTATCCCCCCTACACGTGTGCGAAATTATTAAACCTCCGTTATGACAGATTAATGGTATCGTTTATCACTATCAGTGTAAAAATCCAGAGAGACATGATACAAGATTGCGTGGCACAGTTTTGCTGTTGATCCTAAGCGCTGCGCGCGGATGAGACGCGCAGTTCCGCGGGATATGCGCACGCGACCGCGGGGATGTTCAAGTATGAAGCGCTGTCCGCAGTGGAGACGTGCGCCAAATTCGAGGCTCGGCGCACGTCTCCACAGCGGTCAGCGGATGGTCTGTAGTTTTAGAAGCAATTCACAAACAAAGAAAGGATAGAGAAGGAGATATTAATAGGCAACCAAGTAATAAAAAAATGCACCAAATAATCATACCTAGGGGATTTAATTAATGATATAGGAGATTATAACGATATGATAAGAGTCCGAACTGAAAAATGTAGGTTCATGATGAGGGAAATATTATCAGGAGTGTATCAATATTGATACACTCCTGATATTATCATGGGCAGAAGAGCAAAATTATGGAAATCATACTATAGAAGCAAGAGTGAAATTATACGAATGCACAGTTTTACCTTCCTTCCTAAATAACAGTGAAACATGGACTAACTTAACTAAGGAAGAAGTAAAAGTGTTGGAGGATTTCCAAAATGAGTGCCTGCGCAAAATAATAGTCACGCAGAAAACCTACCGAAACACATTGAAAGACGATGAAAACTTCAAGGAAAGATACGGAGAAATCATATAGTTTCTATACGTAAATCGTGGTAAATACATATAAAACCGCATTATTTTATTTGAAAATCCCCATTTTTACGTATAAAACATCCAAGAGATGGCGCTGTGGCATGTAAACATTAGCACCGAACATTGTGTGTGTTTTATTAGCTCATCTGACATAGTCAGATGCAGCTTGTAGAATCGCACGATCGTCCGTCCGTCCGTCCGTCCGTCCGTCCGAGCGTCCGTCAACAGTTGGGCACAAATCTTAACCGCTCGACGTACGGTCACGATATTCGGCACATTGGGGGGGATCGTCAAAACGAGTTGGGCTGTCGAAGCTGGGGGTCAAAGGTCAAAAGTCAAAGGTCAAGAGGTGTAAAAGAAGGGGGAACATTCACTCCTTAACTTAAGGTATAGGGAGGAAATGCAGAATTGCGGCACATAAAAAATGGCAATTTTTTTTACAAATTTTACCATAGAAAATTCGTGACGTAGTCAATTTAAGGTGGTCGCCATACTTTTTAACAATTATTTTTAATGGGGGATTTTTGTCTCATGCCGCGTGACATGCTCTATGCCAGTTAAAATGTGGCAAACATTAAAACACACACCGGTGCTACAACTGACGCGACCTTCAAGAAATGTTTTCTGAACTTGTGAGATTGTTTCTTTCTCGACTCTCTTGAATTTAATCGTCTTACCTGGACATTTTACCGCTGTCTGTGTTTAGGCCATGGAGAGTGAGCAGACAGGAAGGGGTCTTGCTAGCAAGTACACTGCTAATATCATCAATGTAATGCACCGTATCTACACTGTATTTAGTCTTGAACTGCTCCAATCCCTGAAGCTTTCCCATCCACACTGCAACACGAAGGAACCTCGTCTGCAAACTGCCACGACGCAAACAACTGAACGCAACTAGTCTTCTGGTAAATAATAACACCATACTGCATTGACATGCGCCGAGCCACCTGCCAAAATGTTTAAATGACAAATTCAGTGAGAGAAATAAGTGACCTAGAATATCATCGACGTATCTAAAAATTTTCTTCAAATATTGAGCTACCATTTATGATCCACTTGCAAAACATTTCAATTGGATAAAAATTCCCATTTGGTTTACTGAATTCTAAACTTCTAAAATAAAAGTAGGATTTTTCTTGTGCATGTCACAAGGCTATAAATTGAATAGAATCAGTTGCACATATACCTGCATAGGATTCAGGAAGTTTTGGTACAAACAGGATAGTCACACAGGTATCAACCTCAATAGCTCCATAACAGTCTGGCTCCAGAACCCCGAATGCCCAGTGGAAATACGACTCCTACAAAACAGTAGATCATCATTCTTGACATGTGAAAATACACACGTGTACTGTTGTGAAGAGCCACAAGCAGCAAAAATGCACACATTGATCAACAGTAAGATGTTAAGGTTTTACTTTACTCGATTGATTTAGTTAATTAAAACTAAAATTCAGATCACTGATATATCTCATTGACATATGATTACAAAGAACCTGGATGGTGACTATAAATGCAAATTTCTGATAATCACTAGAGACCATTGCTAAATTGTGGAGATCATAGGTTGGTGACCTAGATTTTGGTCTTGACCAAACGAATTATAAAAAAATTACAACTGCAGATTCATATTCCCAAACGTTATTGTGGTAACATTACTCCAATATCATGTGCACAAAGATAAATGCACTGTTTTACATTTAATTTAAAAGACCCGCTCTGTGGAATCAAGGAAGCTACATTCACCGATAGTTTTGCAGCCTGCTCACCTGTCGAAATAAAGGTTCATGATCAGAGCAGTAGCGCGTGGTAGACTCACCCCCTTGCAGAACCACCCACGATCCAGGAGCAACCTTCCCACTCGATCTCAGGCTGTGCAACACAACATATAAAATGATTAATTGCAGTGATTCACAACGTTTCTGCGACTGAGCGAGAAAAAACGCAAGTACGTATAAAACTGCAAAAAATATGCACAATCCTAGTTTGGCTGAGAGGGTCTATGTCCCCTGGGGTACTGCCGGAACGTACCCTGGGTACGGTCCGCTATACCGGAACGTACCCTGGTACTATATTATATGCCGGACCGTACCTCGCCTGCTCCACTAATGAGCAGGGGCGGATCCAGGGGGGGGGGTGCAGGGGGTGCGCACCCCCCCCCTAAAAATTTTGAGTTGCCCTTTTTTCTGGC